ACAGTTGTGTCATTTGGTCTTGGTCGTTTTCACGGCATTGATCTGACATATTCCACGAAATAGCTAGTTGTTAAATAGATTTTCGAAAAGTTACATACAGTCATCACGACTAAGTAATTTTAGAGACACCAGCTTTCATTACCCATGAAAGTAAAATATCGCCATTGCAGCGGTTAGCCCACCGTAATAGAGACGTAAATGTAAAAACCCACAAATCCAATAAATGCAGAGTCGCGAGCCACTTTCGGCGCTGCTGCTCTCCACAAGTGACCCACGAGAGCTCTTATTGAAATGAATTTTTTCGCCCCCGAGGCTGCACCCACGTGTATCCGTAAGCTCTCGATGCTCAACGCGGACAATTGCCTATCTCGAGCTTCTCCGGGCCACAACCACGCCTACGAGCACGAAAATGCAAAAGCATATACTACGATGGCCCCACTCGCCCCTCTTATTTTCACGTTTGCCCTTTTTCCTTTCGTATATACACGGGAACCGAAAACCCCGACGACGACTGCTATTTGCACTGGAGTTTGTGTAACATCCGAGTTAATTGGGAACCCTGTCGGGGCCGTGCACACCGATCGATAGTGTACTTTGATTCGGAAAGTTTTTCCATTAAAGTTTCAGCTCGTCATTTTTCGATTTACCTTCTCCTATACGACAAGCAAAAAATGAATACTGTTCTTCATTCACTGGAGACACAGATCTCTACCGGAGATCGGAGGTGTACTTAGTTATGCAATAAAAGTATGCGCGAGTTTAACGACCCGGGAACTATTACCGCGAGAGCGATGCTTTATTTTCCCTTTTTTTATCCTCCCTGTCTTTCTCTTCTCGCGATGAGACGACAATTAGATGGATTAACGGCGATCATTGCACGCTGGATGACTCACGGGAAGTTTTGTACGTCTTTTATTCGAATCTATCGGATTTTGATATCAATGGACTATAGATACGCGTGGCGGATTAATTTTTCGTTTAACCGATGATTGAAGGTTGATGAAAAAACGCGCTGATATAAGCCCGAGAGGTACGCGGACCGTGTGTTTGTTGATTGCAGGGCTTTTCAGGGGTATGTAATTTTCTTTATCGTGTGTACATAACACGTGGCCGTAACATGCGCGTCAGTCGGACAGAGGCTCGTTTATTATCGCCGTTGCTTCATAATAGGCCCTGGAATACCTCGGGTGATAACGTAATCCAAGTTTTTTTATTGTGCTTGTTTCTTTCGTCGTGGTCTCGCGTATATTTTTTTTTTTTTCAATTGTTCGAGGTAATCTTACGCGTCGTTGGTTTGATTGCGGGAAAATCTTGAGGTGACCTTTATCTTTCTTCCGTCGACCATCGAAATCTTACAGTCGAGCGTGAAAATACATCGTTTTAAGTCTCGAGGTTTGCTTTTCGTAATGATTGATCGATTCGAACGACGACGCGTTGTGTGCGCAGGTGTGACGAGTGACAAAAAAAATGTAGATTTTTACATGTCGATCGCGATAGGAGTCGTTACATGTATAACTAGTGGCATGGAAAAAAAGTTCAAATATTTTTTCGTTTGCGTACGAAACGAATGTTAAGTATGTTCTTCCGTCTAATTTTTTTTTTTTTTTTTGTACTTTTAAATTACGTCAAGATAATGTCGGTGGTGCCGCAAAGTAGTTTCCTTGACTCGAATTTGTTGCTGATATTGTTCGAAATGTCGCTTTGGCGATACCTGCAATGTAAACGATGCAGAACAAAATTTATCCTTTTAGGCGTTGATATCATTTTTGCACGCACGAACGCGACGATGGAATGTTTCAAGCTTGAATAGCTTATTTCGTGGTTTTTTCGTGCATTTTCCGGAAAAACTCGAATTATGGAGTTCCCTTGCAGATGGAAAAAAAAAACATTTGACCTCATTATCAAACAACAGAACCATGTTTCGAAGTAATAACAATGATCGATTATTCTCGCCGATAAGCAGAGTTCCAGTCGAACGAAAAAAAAATATGCCACGTCAATCCCTATCGATCTCGAAACCATGTGTGCTCGACGGCCTCTAAAAATGGGGAAAAACAGAAATGTTAATAATAACCGATCGACGACCACTCGCTACGCTGTTGTTTAAGCGTACGAGTACCTGGGTCCTTTTTTTTTTCAATTACTTACTCCAACCGAGTCACGATCCTCCGGTATAGCGGGTAGGCATACATATAAATGTATACGCGTAAAGGCACAACTGTCCAAACAAAGCGCGTAAGTATCGCGCGACTTTGGAGCTTATCGCAAAACTGGCCATACGTGCGTATGCACACACGAGCAAAGGGGGTTATATCCCGTGACTTGTATTGTCAAAGTTGCGAGATATACACCTATACCTTGCCTGTAATACGTGCCAAGCGATACCACTCACCCAAGCTTTGGGGACGCGATAGTACACTAAAGGCTTTCATGATCGTCACCGGCGTCGACGCATTATTATTATCATTATTGTTTACACACGCACGTGGATTTATTCATTGTTCGGCCTCTAAGCGGGCCCTTGGCAGTGTGCTCGTAGGTGCCCCGCGCCAAATTAAATATTTCCTTCCTCGCGACGCGTAGCGTGTTATACGTATACCTCGCGTTGTATTTTTTGCGTCGCTGGTGTAATAGGAATTTCAATTGGAATGCTATTTTTTTTCTGAGACAATTTTTACGCGCGCATGCGAGGATTCTCGAGTTTTTCCACGTTACTGTACTGCAAGAAAAAAAATAAAAAAACTTTGTGGGGATACGGTGTGAGTGTTTTTTTTTTTATTTTCCGTAACACCAATTGTCTCTCGCTTGCGCGTCAAGGAAAGAAAATTCGTTCTGTTTTTTTCATTTCGAACGATACGATTTCGAAGGCAAAGTTCCTCAACTGAAGTGGCTTTTGTGGGTTGAGGTGTGCGTTTTTTTGCGAATTTTTTTTTTTTTTTCATCGCCCACGCGCTTGGTTCCGCTTCTTTGAACCTCCTATTAAGGCCAGAGAGATTTTTTTTGTATTTCACTCGATTCTTATGAATTTGAAAGCGCAACGTTTCGTTTTGCCACGGTAATTTTTCTGTTTGAGATAAAATGTTCACGTGAGCATTATGGTCAAAGTAAAATTAAAAGCTTACGTGTAGCATGGCTTATCACCAATTTGTAAAAATAATTTACAAGTCCAGTAGATAACTAAAGCGATTGAATATGAAAATATTGTGAATATGTAATATACATATTTCAAACGAAAAAAAAAATTCACGTATCAAGTAATAATGTTTTTTTGGAAAAATTTACATCGAATAGACAATTTGTTTCAGGACTAATAGGTCTCTACTTTTTAATTTTACCTAAATAGTGACCGTTTCCCTCTCAGATGACTGTATAAATTCCAAAGTATGTTTTGATGAAGCGAAAGTAGTGAAATTAGTTTTAACGACAAATGGATGAATAAATAAACAAGAATATTAAATATCTTGCGTACGGCATTTTACTTCATCCACTACGCGGCAAGTCAGAACTCAGGATCCCATCTCCCTGGTCATCCGAGAGCCACACGTAACCCATATTCCCACACCCACACAAATACGAAGAAACGTTTCAAGAAAGCCCGGAAACCCATACACCATCCCCTCAACAACGACCCGTCTGTCTCCTCGAGTTACCCTCTCATCACCCGCTGACATCTTCCCCCCACTCTGGCAGCCCGCACGAACCCCAACCCTCGATATATACACAAGTATTCTCGAGAAGCGATCGCTGAAAAAAAATTTACTACGCCCCTAAAAGTTTTACATTTTACAGCCTTTAACCGACCGACCTCCCCGCGCGAATGTATATTTACAGCCACAGGATCGTCTTGTTTCCCGAAACGTGTCTCCGTAAAAGCTTGCAAGACCCCCTTGTACTATATTTACGAGCCTCCTCTGTGGGGGTACTTCTTTCCCCCCTTCCCTTAACGAGTCGTCGTCGCACGGTGATCGTTGCATTTTTTTTCGTTACAAATTTTCCTGCTCGACCATACGTTTTCCTCCCCTCCCCTACGAAAGTCGCTCGCCACGGCACATCTGCTTAATATTGAGACGATCATCTCGTTGTTGCGCGGCGATCAATAGCTCTATATTTGACGAGAAAACTGAAAGTAACGCGCGCCGGTGGGTCATGTCTTGGTATCCGGTTACGTGTGAATATTTGGGGTTTTTTTTTCCGTGTACACGTAAAAATTAAAAGTTAAAACCGAATGTTGTTTTTAAACCCGCGTGTACACACACGTGTGCTCGATCATGCGAGATTTATCGAAAAGCAATGGCAAATGGCACATAGGCTGTACAGTTTTCCCCTGGTGTGTTTCGGTATATAATACGTCGTGCGCCCGTATGCGCGCGCGCGCGCTTTTATCATTGACGAGCCGTAAATGGGACTTCTATCTTGCTCCTCTTCTGCAGCTCCCTACCTCCGATTACATAAGCGGCTGCAGCAGTACCGGGTTCATCAACGTTGTCTGGCCTTTTTTTTTCTTTTCCACGCTCCATCGGCCAAGTGCGCTGTTTATGCTGCGATTTTTTTCTTTTTGCTGATAGGTATTTGCAGAGTTTTGGAGAAACGCGGGTTTGCTGGTCACGGGAAATTTGGAGTTTTTTATCGAGGTTCGAGCGATATCGGGGCTGCCGTATCTCGTCGATTAAAATTGTACGACAATAGTTGAGCTGCCGGAAAAATTTTAAACGCTACGTGGACAGTGATTGGGATGGTAAATGTGTTGGTATAGTGACTGTAAAGTCATGAAAAGACACTTTGACCGACATATTTCGGCAAAAATGGCAATGACACAAAAAGTACCTTCCCGAAAAATCAGATCTTGGCTCTAATAAAAACGTACTTAAAAAAACAAAAAAAAAACAAAACCAATTTGCAACGTACCTGACCGAGATTTTAATTTTCACACGAGTAGTTTTGTGTGAAGAAACAAAAAGATAAAAAAAAGTAAAAATAAAAGTAGTGAACGAATAACTTACGGCACAGGGCCAGCAGGATGAGAGGGCTGATAACGGCAACGGTGAGCGCCATGTCTTCCGGCTGGTGTATGTATATGTATGTACGTCTAAGTACCCCAACAACAAGCAACGACCGTTAATTCAAACGTGTTCGAAAGTATACGCCTATACCGAGCAGAGCTGTAACTGAGAGTATACACCGCCGCTGCTGTGCAGCCAAAACGATCTGTTGGACTCGAGAGACTACGAGCGACTGACTTCGTCCTGTCTGTTCTTATGGAATATGCGTGGTATACATGTATATACAAACGAGACGGTATGTTATACGCTGGCTGTGCTAGGCTGTAGCAGAGAAGGAGGGAGGCAGAGAGAGAGAGAGAGAGGGTTCAAATTCCAGCCTTCCAGCGCATGTATACTTATCCTCTCGCTCTCCAGCGCACCCCTGATTGGGCGCCCGCGCCACTGATAATGTGTACATTGGAGGTGGGGCGCGGTTACGGGATGGTGTGAATTTTGAGCTTTGAGCTTTTTGAAGGACAGAAAAATAATGCGGTTTTGGAACACTTTTGGAATCTGCTTGATTGACATGTGTGTTTGGGCAACTGAGGGGGTACTGTACTTGGAATATCCCCCACAGGTGATTGTTGGAATTTTATAAAAACATTTTGTGCACGTTTGAACGAAAATTTCTATTACTACGATAAAAATAGTTTTGATAAATATGAGGAAATCCATAAAAAATATCCCATTTTTGTCCTCCATTTCAATAATAAATTTTGTTTGAGGTATACCCGTGAAACCGGGCTCGTTTTACTCCTAATATTGTATACTATGAGCAAAAAATTTTGAACACGGCTTTCAGTGGAGATGACACCCTTTTTCTGTGATTTAAAATTTTTATAGTTAAAATTATATATGTGCATATGATACGTATGGTTATAATAATAGCACGTAAATCACGAAAAAAAGGATGTCACCTTACTAAACCTCGTGTTTAAAAATTTTTTGTCATAGTATATGGTGTTACGTACGATAGCATATAGCTATGCGTGCGTGCGCCTCTGCTGGCTTGGGCCCGAAAGGTAGGGGAATAGAGAAGAGAGGTGATAGGAAAGGTAGAGAGAAGGGACAGGGAGATCAGCGAGAGACGCGAGAGGGTAAGGACGAAGTCCGCGAGACGATAATACACGCACAACTTTCCTCAATGATAAGTAATCCTAATAAAGCATAAGTAACAACAAGTCACGCTTCTATTTATTCCCGCACCGAGAATCCCACGTAACAATGGCATTACGAGTGAAATAAGCTCTGTTTTGAGGGTATGTCAAAACAAATTGTTTTTTAACAAAACGAAATATTTTTTGTGGATTTTTTCATTTACTTTGCAAAGTTTTTTTTTTATTAGTAATTTTGTAGTGATGAAAGTGTGTTATCATTTATATGTAGGCTTCTTTATCGAATGAATAATCATGCTAGTGTTTTACAATACTAAAGCGTTTTATAATATGCCTTCAGCATTTTCTGCTTAATGACAGACACAATCTATTGTTTTATAATTATAACGAATGAAAAAAAAAAAAAATAAAATTGTATTTAATTAATGAAAAACTTAGAAATAACTTTTTTGTAGAGCTACCTATCTTACGTTTAAACATAAAAGCGTAGCAAGCTTAGAATTTCTGTGAAAGTAAATAATTTATTTAATTATTTTTTTATACCTTGGCTACTTTGAGGGTTGGGTGTGCCCTCGGTAGGAAAAAAAGGGTTCGCACCTGGTGTACATCCAACCAGGACAGGCACAAAGAGTCCCTCGAGCCCTGATTTGCAGGTCCCTTGGGCGCCACCACGTACGAAAACTACTATTAATTTGTGTCTTTAATTTAGTCTGTACAACATTTGTCTCTACATTTATTTTATAGAATAAATTTTATCGATGGCACAATTATTGAAAACTTGATATATTTTTTCACCAGTGCGTAGTGTGAAAGCTTTAAAAGTCAGATATTATAGTCAAGCTTGGCACAAATACTTCTTTTTTAATTTTACTTAAAAAAAAAATTTATTTCTTGAATAAAAAATCTTTTTTTTTTGTTTAAAATTTTTTTAATTCATCGCTATTTGTAATACAATACGGAAAAATTTCTTTTTTCCAGCAGATAAGAGTAACGTACGGTAAAAG